AAAAAGCATTTTAGGCAGAGAGAGAGAGAGATGGGGTGTGAATTCCTGAAACATTAAAGGATACCAGATCAGGAAGAATAAGGTATAGATTAACAGAAATTGAGATAAGAAAGTTGAGGAGGGTGTTGGCAGGCAAATGGGGGAGTCCTCAGATCAAGCAGACCTTTGTAAAGACCTTGGTTTTCACTCTGTGGGAAATGGGAAAATTATAGAGTTCTGAGCAATGGAATGATGAGACCTGACTAATGTTCTAAAAGGAATATTTCTCTATTGATAATACACTGTTGAGGACAAAGGTAAGTGCAGGAAGATTCATATACAAAATAATGAGTAATGGTGGTTCAAGCAAGGCTGGTGGTAGTTCAGACAATAAAAAGTGGTTGGATTCTAGATATAAGTTGGAAGAGCCAACAGAGTTTCTGAAATTTGAAGTGAGTTGCAAGGAAAGGAATAAAAGATAATTCCAAGAATTTCAGGGTTTCCAGCCAGAGCATATAGAAAGAGTTATTGTCATCAATAGATGACAGATGATGACAGATAATATATACTGTCAAAAAGTAGAAAGGGAAAGATTGGGAGTTCAGTTTTAGAAGTGCTGAATTTGAACCATTTATTAAGGATCTAGGTAGGGATGTTAAGTAGACCATGGAATGTAAGAGTCTGGAGTTCAGGAGAGAGATCTGGACTGGAGATATCAATTCAGTTGGTGACATACTTAGATGGTACTTAGAACCATTATCAGAGACTGGTAAGAGAATGACTGAGGATAGAAGAGAGAAAAGGACCAAGAAATGAGCCTGGGACATTGCAACAGTAAGAAGGGTAGAAGTACATGAGGGAAAAACTAGCTGAAGTTGACTGAACAGTCACAGCCAGTAAAGAAAAACCAGAAGGAGTAAATGGGCAAGTCTGTATTTTGACTTATATTTATAGCAATGAGAAAGCTGTTGGTAAACTTACAATAAGTAGTTTTGTGAAGAAGAGTAGGGGAATGAAAAATTTATGGTGAGGTTTAAGAAAACATTAGCAAAGAAGAACTGAAGAAAATGAATCCAGATAATTTTGAAAGTAATTGTTCTCATAATATCTGAGAAATAATGGCGTGCTTGTATGGTGAAAGCAATAATTTTTTTATTACAGAGAAAAATAGGGAAAATTGCTTCTGCATATCAATAGTGGAAAGGATCTGGGGTCTACCCTATAGCAAGAGAGATTGAGGTAGGAAAATTATCTATGCAAGTGGTGGGAAGAAAGAGTGTAAGAGAAGCTATGTGGGTATGTGGTATCTGTGATACTGAGGTTGTTCTCAGATTGCTTTAATCTTTTTTGGTGAAATAGAATTCAGGATTATGGGATAAGAACACAAGGGTGTAGGTATTGGGAATCCAAGAAAAAAGGAAAAGTTTTGAGATAGTCAACTGAAGGGAGGAGCAGTAAGCAGAATGGAAACCAAAATATGATTGTTTGGTAGTATTAAATAGCTACTTGAAATTTGTGGTTATAAATTAAAGTGAAACCTTCTAAAAAAGACAACCAGATGGTCAAAAGACACATGAAAAGATGCTCAACATCCCTCATCATTGGGAAAATATAAATCAGTACCACAAGAAAATATCACCTCACACGTGTCACAATGGCTAAAATAAAAAACACAAGGAACAACAAGTGCTGGTGAGAATGTGGAGAAGAAGGAACTATTGGTGGGAATGCAAACTGGGGCAGCCACTGTGGAAAACAGTAAGGAGTTTCCTCAAAAAATTAAAATTAGAATTACCATATGATTCAGTAATTCCACTACTGGCTATATACTCAAGTAATATGAAATCATTAATTTGAAAAGATATAGGCACCTCTGTGCTTACTGTAGCCTTATACAATAACTAAGAAATGGAAGCAGCCCAAGTGTCCAACAATAGATGAATAGATAAAGAAGGTGTGCATGCATCAGTGTATACACACACATACACACACACAAACACACACACGTACACACACACACAATGGGATATTATTCAGCTATAAAAAAGAATGACGATGTTGCCGTTTGCTATTGATGGAGCTAGAGGTATAATGTTAAGTGAACTAAGTCTGAGAGACAAATGCCATATGATTTCATACATATTTGGAGTTTAAAAAACATAACAAATAATGAAAGAAAAAAGAGACAAAAAATAGACTCTTAAATATAGAGAATTCGTGATTACCAGAGGGGAAGGAGGTGAGGAGGTGGGTGAAATAAGAGACAGGGATTAAGAATAAATGTATCATGATGAGCACTGAGTAGTACAGAATTACAGTACTGTACAGTTCTATGCAGTAGTACAGAATTATTGAATCACTATATTATACACCTGAAACTAATATAACACTGTATATTAACAGTACTGGGATTAAAAAATAAATACATAAACACAAATTTTTTGAACAGCCAATTAGAATTTTACCAGGGTTGAGAATTTGCTAAGCTAGTTTAATGAATGAAGCAGGGATTAGAATTTCACCAGGGTTGAGATTTTGCTAAACTAGTTTAATGAATGAAGCAGGGGCAGAGGATTCCAGGGTGTGGGACTGAGTTTAGTGATTTGCCATAGCATCTTAAACTAAATAAGGAAGGAAATTCCGCATCAAGAAGTACTGTTAAATAGTGGCCAGATTGAATGGCATAAGTCATTGAGAGTATGTATGGGACTGAGGAACTACTGAGGTCAGAGTAGAAAGAATGGACCAGAAAAAGAGGAAGTGACAGAGAGTGAAATGCATAGATTCAAGATTAAATTTTTAAAAAGAAGGTGGGGAAAGGTCATGAAGAATATACAGCTCAAAAGGAATTATTCAAAATAACTAGAGAAGTCAGACCTAGACTCAAAGAAATTACAGACATGAACTCTTTTAACTTGTTGCTCATAAAACCTTGAAAGACAATCAAAAGACAAAGAAAAAAATATTTTGACATTTGTTTATTTTTGAGAGAGTGCAGCTGGGGAGAGGTAGAGAGAAAGGGACAGAGGATCAGAAGTGGGCTCTGTGCTGACAGGCTGACAGCAGTGAACCTGATGCAGGGCTCAAAATCACAAAGCACGAGATCATGACCTGACCTGAAGTCGGACACCCCGGTGCCCCAAGAGAAAGTTAAAAAAAAGCAAAACGACATTTCAAAGATGAGAGTCATTTGGAGAATGAACACCAAATACAATAAATGTTCAAAGATAGACAATATAGAAAGGAATCATACACACAAAAAAATAGAATATGTTATTTAGGAGATATAGAAGATCCAATGTATGTCTAATATGTACTTTAAAAAATGAACATATTTAATTCAAGGAAAAAAGAAACAAAGTCAGTATGAATATTTTAGTAGAAAAAGTCATGTCACTTAGAAGGAGACAAAAACAACTGGTTAGCCAGAGTTTTTCTGCAGAAAAACTCAATGCCAAAACCCTGGAATAACATCTGCAAAGTTCTGACATTTTGTCATAAAATTTTAAGTACTTCCCTATCTCAATATCTTCTGAAATACATTTAATTATCTAGTCACCTCTCTCTCTCCTTCTCCTTCCCTCTCGCTCTCTCTCACCCCCTTTCTCTACACACACGCACACACACACACATATACACACACACACACCTAGGAGGAACATAAAAAAATTCCACACTCTCAAGAAAAGTTATCTCTGGATGATGAAATTATCTTTAGATTTCCCCCCAACATTAGTTTCTTAATAGCCTATATTAATATGAAATGCCATATATTTCAACTCTAAGATGCACATATTTTCACATCCCTGAAATGAAGACAAGTCATAAAATAGTAGTATTTTAGATTCAAAGAAGTATGGTAATTTTGTAATTGAATTATAAGAGTATTTAAAATAAAGGAGAGATGACAAAGAGACATCACAGAAGATAACTTGTCTACAGTCCTTACAAGTGATGGAACATTTCAAAGATCAGTAAGAAGGAGGTGGTGATGTGGTTGTAGCTGAGGTTGTTTTTGTGCAGGCTTAATCAAATTTAGACAGGAAGAACATGTTCAACAGGAATAAAGTCATTTACTGTGATGGCAAAATGAGAAAAGTAAGGGTTTGGATGGAAACGAAAGAAAAAGACACAAAAAGCCTTTCCTGTAGCGTTTCATTTGAACTGGAGTAGGACATGAGAAAGAGCTTAAAGACGAGGCAGAATCAGAATGAGTTGGAGACGTCACTAGGGAAAGTGGTCTCAGAGGACCACACTCCTTTTGAGTAGGGTCCATTTGTAAAATTACTTACTTTTGAAATGCAACCAAATTTTGAAGTAATCTTTTGCCTTGGTGGAGATGTTTTACTCTCAAATTGGAAAGCATAATTTCTACAAATCTCAGATACATATAAAAAATAATTTGGGGAGTGGCTGGGTGCCTCAGTGGGTTAAGCGTCCAACTCTTGATTGGGTCATGATCTCACAGTTTACAGGTTTTATCCACGTGTGGGATTCTGACAATGAGGATCCTGATTGGGATTCTCTCTGTCTCCCTTTCTCTATGCCCCTCTCCACTCTCTCTCTCCTTCTCTCTCTCTCAAAATAGATAAATGTAAAAAAATAATTTTGTACTGAATTAAAGGTGACCCTATTCTTTCTTTCTGCTTAATCACTAGCATTTGTAGTTCCATCTAAAACCATCTCCCCAAATCCTAATATACCTCGGATTTGTACCCTTCCTTTGCTTATGCCATATACAGAATTTGTTCCAATAATATATTTCCCTTGCCCTTCAAAGAGATTTTTAGAACATATTCACAAATGAGACAGGAAATGGTCATCTTTCCCAGCTGAATGAGTGACCCCTTACTTGGACTTTTAAATAACAAGTAAATAGTGCCAAGTTTTGGATAATTTTTAATCTGTATGGAAATCTCTCATACCAAGGTGAATTCTGGCACCTGTATGCACTATATACACTTATTTTCAGTTTCATTGTCCAAAAGCATTAAATGAAGATTTTTAAGGAATTGCCTTACCCAGTCAGTTTGATGGCATGTGTCTGTAGCTTTCGATATTGTCCTGATTCTTCATTGGGATTTTTGGTAATATGTCTATATATCCCTGTTTTATAATGGAAGAAATCCTCATGGACTTGCATTATGGCTAAAATAAAACCCAACAAAATAAATGCAACAGTTTTTAACAATTCTCTTTAAAAAACTCTAGAAATTCTCACAGAACAATCAATGGTTAAATTGCCAGGAGAGTCTAAAGAAGGGACTTGGCAATTCAGTCTAATTTTCTTTCCTACTTAATTACTGCAGTATTTTTTTGGTTCTCTTATAAAAACAGCTTTTAGCTATTTAGAATATTACTTAAGTACACATTATACCTTTAAAACACCATCTATTCCTAATTGACAGAAGCACTGTTTCCAGGAATTGAGACCCTTGCAGACAAGCCCCAGTACACTTGGCTAGTGATTGCTGTTTCTCCATTAACTTTGGGCTTCACCAAGAGCCTCTTAAAACTCCAATTAAGCTAGCAGTGAAGGGTGAACCCAGCAAACAGGGCTTAAAGTAATTGTCCTTAATCCTTCCAAGTAAATACAAACCTTTCCTTGGTGAGTTTGAATAAAAAGCAAACCCTTGGCAAAAGAATGCTCTGACAAGATTTCATCCTCCCAGCTCTGAAGAGCTAAGCCACTGTTGTATTCTTCAGAAAGTAAGAGCTTATACTTGATAAGGCTCTCCTTCATTCCCTCACCTAGATTACTTCTTTTCTGTATCGGATGCTGCTTTGTTGAAGGGCTAGGATAATTCAGGGTGAAGACTTTACTCTTCTAGAAGACATGAATTAAAAATATATTTAGTTGGGACTAGATAAGTATATGTTGATAAGTGCACAATGCTTGTCTATATTAGTTTGACATGCTTTTTAAATAAAATAAAAACTAAGGTCACAAGCATTTGATAGATCTCAAAATGAAGCTTTGACTCCAAAGTCAAGTATAACTTTCTAATGTTCCCTTTTATTTCTTTTTTTAATGTTTCATGCCTTTTCTGATGCTGTTTAAATATTCTCAAAAGAGTTTAACTCTTCTTTATCTGCTTTAAAATGCATTCCCATGGGATTTTAAGAATTTATAAAAATGTACTTGATGCAGTGTGGGGAATAAACTTAGGAATTCCCCCGGCTTACACCAATGGGTTAACAAGGCATAAAGAAATACAAAGCCAGAGGATGTTCACACCTGAGTTTGGGTAAACAAGATTAGATGTATAAGGTCAGGTAAGGGGGACTGAGACCCCCATAACAGGGAGGGGGAAAAGGCCCCAATACCCAGGTATATGATATAAACAAGATTAAGCATTCAGGGCAAAAGTGCGCCCCAATTTAGTACTATAGCAGAAAGCTGCTTTCACAGGAAGGACCTAATTAGGCAAACAGGTAAATACAGCTACAAACACCTGTGTTGCAGGTGCTGTTGCTCTGAATGGAGCTGATTAACAAAAGAAAATGTGACTTGTTAACTCTGAGGTTATTTGCCCTATCCCCTGGGCTAGCTAAGGTAAATAGACCTGGCGCGGCGCCTCCTGTCTGCCACCATCTGCCCATCTGCCCTGCTCCAGGAATTTGTTTTACATGGACCCAAACCCCAAACACTGTATATCTTCAAAATCCCCTTTCCTTCATACCCATGAGTTTATGTTCACCAATTCATTGTCTCTTTGTGCATGCCCATCATATTTGTAAGCCTTCTGATTTTAATAATTATGGAGCAAGAACCCTTATTTGGGACTCTTGTCTTTTACCGGACATTAGCCATCTCTCACTTTTAATCCCACATCCACTCTCTTGCTGGCCAAGAGAGAACTTTAGACTTAGAGTCTACGACAATGCAGATCTTATTTTTTCTCTGAAATTATTGGCAACTCTTTAGATTTTAGAAGAATGCACATGTTATTATTTATTCAGCATTCTATTGCTTTTTACATTCTTTTGTAGTGAAAAAGGAGAAAATGCTATATGTTAGACCAAGGAACATGTGCATTTACAGCAAGATGAATCAACCAGCATTTATATAAATGTGAAGATACTGCTAGTGGTTTTTCTCTTCTATAGAACCATTGACCCCTTCAGCTCTTCTCAAATCTCCCTAAGTACCACAAATAAAATATACACTTCACTACTAAAAAACAATGCCAAGTGAAGTAGTATGGGTGAGCGATCATCTCGATTAACCTGAAAGTGGCTCCTTCCTTCAGACTTAATGAACCCATAAAGATAAAACTATGTAAGTTGCTGTAGTGCAATTTTACTTTGGGAAAACTGCAGCAAACTTGGTACATGGAATTATAACAAGGTATAAGGACAGGTTGGGGCCCACCCTGATTCAGCTCTATCTCCTGCTCCTGGCTCAGGCTGTCAGGAGGTACGTTCCTGACAAACATTTGTTGAACGGATATTCAATAATTTGAATTTCAACTTTACTATTTTCAGTTTTATTTTGATTCTTACTTTTGATTATTTTTATTCATTATGTGAAATTCATGAATATTTACATACTTGAGCGTTAAAAAAAAACCTAAGGTGTTCTCAATTTTAAAGAATTACGTTCCAAATTTCTTCTGACTGATTAAAAGAGAGACTGGAAACATTTCTATAGTGATTTGAAGATGCAGAGAGCTTAAATGACTTGCCCAAAGTCATTTCAGTAGCAAGGGTCAAAGGTGGAATTTTGAATTCAGCCTTGAGTTCTAATGCCTGTGCTCCTTTTAGATTTGTCACAAGAACTCAACTTAATGAAGCATGCATGTAAATCACCCATGAATTCCCCACTCTTATAAAAGCCAATAAAACTTACATAATTATAAGGAAAAACAACTCTCTCATTTGTTTCATGTTTTGTCTAAGGTCTCAGGAGTTTTAGAATTAAATTCAGGACATGTTTAGTGGAAGCTCTGGCTTCTCAATAAATATTAAGTGGTGATAATGATCAATAAAAATTCTTCCAAAACAACTTTAAAAGCCAGACCTCCTGCTAGATGTTGAACTAATACTCATTAGGTCAGCAAGGGTCAAAGGTGGAATTCTGAATTCAGCCTTGAGTTCTAATGCAAAAGCAGATGCTGGCCAATAATTCCTTAGGTATATATCAAATGTTTTAATTTAACTTTGGTTAATTTAAATTTATTTGATTTATTCCACTGCACTGATAATATATTTGGAGATCTTCATGTGTTCACAACCTGAATTTCTATTTTAGAACTCGCTAGGTTTGTTCTTCCATGCTTTTCCAGGCGGTGTTTAGCACAGGGAACATACTCTGTAAATTTATCTTCATCCACTGCATTGGTGCAAAATGAAATAGAGAATCAGAGGAACTATGTCTCAGAGATGTTGTCTCAAAAATCAAAGTAAATCAGGGTATTATTTTCTTATTTACTGTTAATTCACTATCCCTAACACATTTAGAAAATTGATCAAAACATAAGGCATTTTATAAAACACAAAAACACACTGGCTTTTTTGATATCTTTTGAGTTGATAGAAAAAGGAAAAGATTTAGATTTGTCTACTGCTAAATCTTGATTTTTTAATCCATTACCTAATCCCTTTGAAATAAAGATGAGAAAATTTCTAATACTTAATACTTAAATATGACTGAAAAATTAAGTGAGCTCCACCACTTAGTGTTTCATGTTTGACTGCTTGTTTGGTCCATGATCACTTTTGGAAAGACTTAGCAAGCAGACTTTCATTTACATGTGCCACTATTATTTGGAAATTCAATTTATGAATGTTTCTATCTTCTTAAAATGAAATGGCAAATAATGAAGTGATTAAGTGAGCATATATCCTATAATTGCACTGAGCTTAGAACTGTTGAACCTTTATGAACACTCTAAATGTAAAAATTTTCTTTATTTTATTAATCTCCTTTTGCATGTAATGCTGTTTATTAAAGAAAGAAAAAAGATGCAATCATATTCTAGCCAATCTTACCTTGAACTGGTCCATTTTGCATGATTTCTCTCATTATCTCAGTTTCCTAAAAGAAGAAGCATCACTGAACATCATTACTGCTATCAGAGCATACTAAACCTATTATTTGGTATATAACGCTATGTGTTATATAACCAACTTGAGAATTCTACAATCCAGTGTGCCTTGACTACGATACTTACTCTTACTCATGCCTTGAATTACTCACATGTGAAATACCACTTTGATCAAGTTGCTAAAGACAAGACACAACCATGTGTTTTATTGACATTTACCAATAATATTTTTACCAATAATATTTTTTAATTATTTAAAATAATAACTTTTTGTGGTCACAAATAAATAATTAATTCAAACCATGCTTTATCAGTTTATCCACTATTTTGATCACAGGAACAACCTCAGGTGAGTGTTTAGTGAGGTAGTTCAGTGCACCTCAGTATATAAATATTTCTATGCACTGACTAATGTTGTGTAATGCAGCACTTAGCAAGAAGGCAGGGCATTTATTCATGTGTGCACACTGATCACAGAGTTTATACCAAAAACTAGGACAGTAACAAATACTGACCCTGTACTTGTCTTCAAGGGATTTACATTTTGTGGAGTAGACAGAGAATAGCACAACTAATTGTGTTACGATATAATAAGTTACATTACAGACATAAGCACAAAGTTCCCAGGGGGTACAAGCTAAAAGGGAAATGAATCTTATGTAGGAGTTTGACCTGGACCTTGACACATGTGTGGGATTTTACCAGAAGGAAATAGGTAGGATAACCACTTGGGTCAGAGGGATCATCACGTGGCTAAGTAGAGAAGCATGAAAGAGCATGATATTTAGGGAGCGGACAGTAATTCTGTTCATCAGAAGCATTAGGAGCAGTTGGAGGGGTAGATGCTGCCAGGACAGAGTCTGTAAATGCAGTAGATCAGAACCAAATAATGGAAGACTTATATGGCATGATAAGAAGACTGAACTGTAGAGATGCCTGGATGGCTCAGTCAGTTATGCATCTGACTCTTGATTTTAGCTCAGGTCATATCTGATGGTTCATGAGATTAAGCCCTGCATCAGGCTCTGCACCGATGATGCAGGAGCCTGTCTGGGATTCTCTCCCTCTCTCTCTCCCTCTCTCTCTCTCTCTCTTTCTCTCTCCCTCTCCCTCTCTGCCTCTTCCCCCCTCACTCTATAGATAGATGATGATAGATAGATAGATAGATAGATAGATAGATGATAGACAGATAGATAGATAAAGTGTAAATAAATAAATATTAAATAAATAAACTTAAAAATAATACTGAACTGTAGTCTGCAAGTAACTAGAAGCCACGGGAGTTTCAGATATTCTGAAAATGAGCCTATCTGGGTAACACTGATATGGTGTAGTAAAATTTGTCCAGGCTTTCAATATGAAAAACTAGGATCTAAGGGAGTCATGTTCCCATTTTGGCTATGCCTACTTCAGTTATTTTGTGGAGTAAGACAAAGGATTGATACAATGAGCTACGACCACAAAAAAGTCAGTGAAAAAAAAAGGTTAGATTTAGCATTTATTTGTCAAGTATGGAAGTATATATCATATAATCATTCATGCTGCTCACATTACAAAGATCAGAAATCAGAATTTTTAATGAACACGTTAATAATATAAAAAATTATACCTCAAAACATAGCATTATTTTAGAGTATAATAGTTTTTAGATAGTTTTTGTAACAACAGAGCTATATATTTTTGAGAAAGTTAACCATTGTTAATTCTTGCCCTTTAGACTTACATTGGAAGAGACTCTGTATGGGGGAGAACACTGGTAGATCCTGTTTGATTTCTCGATGTTGTTGGGACATGGCTTTGTGGCATGCCGTTTTCCCCGCCCATCAGACCTACTCGCCATGGCACAACCATAATTGGTAGCATTTTGGTTCTTGAATAGTGGATAGCATGCATGGGATACCAGTCTATGAGGAATAAGCAAAGAAGTAAAAGTCATACTTAGGAAAACGTTCTAATATTGAATCTATGTACAATTTTACTTAAACATTTATAAATTTTCCTCATTACTTACATGTGTAACTTTCAATGTGTTGATTAATTCTAATACACCAGTTCAATATATTACACTCTTCCCTGCCCCTTCATTTTTCTTGTTATAACTTTAAAAATCTTGTTTCAATCTACTTTAATAATTTATCTATGGTATAGAATTTCCTAAAGATGAAAAGTTACTATCAATAAAATCTATGGTAATATTCATAAGGGAAGGACTTCTTCATTTTCAATCTATAATTATAACGTAGAAGAGCCAAGCTTAATATGAAAAAGACAATGATTTTATTATGTTGAAATGGGGCATACTGGTCAGTTATGTACATTTTAGAATTAAAGTTGTTTTGTTTCTGTTTTTTGCCTTTACATTTTTATGAAGTTATAAATACCTTCTCATAAGATTTAAATTATGATGTTTATGTGGTTCATTTTGGGATAAATAGTATACACTCAGTAGAAAGTTATCAGATGCATACGTTGTACAAAGATAAGGAAGATAATTTTTATTTCTAATTTTGAAACTGAACATAATAAAAAGCACAAATTATTTGGTACCAAGACTAATGTAATTTATTGAATATAGAAGAAGTTCTTAAGGAAAATAAACAATAAAATTGCTTTGATATATATTTAGCTTGAAATAGCCATAGAAGTATCAAATATGAATGCTTCAAAAAAATTAAATAGTGTTCAACAGAGTAAGAGAATCTGAGCTAGAAACATGATGAAAGTAAAGCCATTAAAGACAATGAAGACTTCAAAAAATTCTTGCATAAAATGTATTACTCTGGGATAATAAGTGCTATGGATTGAATTGTGTCACCCCAAATCCATGTGTTAAAGCCCTAATTCTAAGTGTGATGGTATATAGAGGGGGACTTTGGGATATAATTAGCTTTAAATGAAGTTATAAGGTGGTGCCCTCGCACTGGATTTAGTGCCCTTATAAGAAGAGGAAGAGATACTAGCTCCCTCTTTCTGCCATGTGAGGACACAAAATGGCAAGTTAGGAAGAGGGCTCTCCCCACCACTCGATAGGCTAATATCGTGATCATGGACTTTTTAGCCTCCTAACTGTGAGAAATAAATGGCTCTTGTTTAAGCTTCCCAGTCTACGGTATTTTCTTACGGTAACCTGAGCAGACCAGTACAGTAAGATTTAGTTTGTTCTCAAAGTTCATGTATATTTTTAAGCTTCTAAAAGTTACTAATTTTTGTCACAGTATAGAACAGAAGCCGGTCAAGCACCACTATGCCAAAAGGTATCAGCGCAAGCTGTCCATTCTAAGCACCACCTTATTAAGCAAAATATACAAAAAAAATCTTAAAGACATTTATTGCCATGGATCAATATTGACACCCATGCTTTTGTAGCACCCAATGTTCTATAGCAGACCTAGAGCACTCAGTGGATGATAAAAATACAGGTGAGCAAAACATATGTCTATTACTAGTTTTCAGCTGCAGTGTCCTTACCTTGATAACTTAGCTTTTAACTAGATTATCTCTTATATAGGAAACCTGAGGATGCAGCAGGTATCAGATTACGTGAGATACATAAAAAAACAACCTGCCTTTTCTGATTAAATGGGATAGTAACCCAAAGATAAATTACTTTTATTCATCTCATTCTTAATCTAATTTTTACCTGGCATTGTCCATCTACCTGGGTAGAAGGCTTGGCAGAGGTATTAGCAATAGCAACTACTCTATTCCCATGGGGACTCAGTAAAGCCATTTGGCTCAGAGCAACAAGAAGACAATGCTTACTTGAATCTTGCTATTAATTTAGCCAGGAAATGTATACATTCTTCAAATAATTGCTTCCAAAAGCTTACAATTTTAGTAGATACCAAATACAGTGTATATTTAAATGTAATACATACATTTATATAGATGTAGCACATATGTTTTTTGGTAAAAATCTTGAAATTCATTTTTTTCCTTCTTTTAACCCCAAACAGAACACATAGAATCCTACAAACATATGTTGGGCAGCTATTTACCCACGTTTTCTCAGGAACCACCAAGCCCTATCGATGCTTCCACTATTGCATCCATGACGGTTCTTGGCACAGCAAGAGATCAAATTCTGAGGGGATAGATTAGCTGTGTATCGACCTTTGGACTGAATTGCTATTCGATCAGCTGCCACACCTGTTTCAAACAGAATATTGATTAACATTCCAATGACACTTGGCATTTTTAATAATTTACATAGCCCTTCTTTTTGAATCAGAGTCTTATATAATTTCAAATTAAGGCCAATGTCCTTAATGCATCATGCACTCCAGCAAACTCATGGGTCATAAGTTCAGTCATAATTTTTATCTAGTTTTGGTATTGCTCAATTGTCTTATCAACTTCAAAGATTTTGTAGTTCCTGGTTCTTTTCTAATTCCTTATTCTTTTCATGTTTTATATACTTATGAAATTTCATTAAGGAATCTTTCAAGTGCAACTGTTTGAGGGCAAGAATCCTATCTCATATTTATGTCTCCTCTACCCCATGTACAGTCATGGATAAATATATAACTTTTGAAATGAGTGCAACTAAACTGAGGAAATCAGAAAAGCTTATGGAAATATTAACTGGAAATCCATCCATGTTAATATGATATATTGGAATAAATTGAGTCCTTGGTTTTTAAACTGGTATCTAGGTTAACCATTTGGCAAACCATAAGTGAATCCACACTTATATAAATCTTATACAATATCTAACTCACCTTATTTATACTTGATATAAATTTATATCAATATAAAATTCCCTAGCATGGTTGTTGTTAATCAGTTCATTCCTTTTCCCAACACATATTTATTGGCTGCCTACTCAGTGACAGGAACTGAACTAAGTATTAGAAATTACAGCGATGAACAAAAATCATAATGATATCCTCATGGAATAATAGGCTAGAAAAATTAATCCTCCATTGGATAAAATAATAATCCATTATCATTTCAATTATGCTACATCAATAAACTAATAAGAGTGACGAGATCATGAGACAATTGCAACGGATGTCATTTTGGTACAAATTTTTGTTGTTCTTGGATAGCTGGTAGAGTTTGTTCTTGATATTTAAACTCAGTTACTTTTAATTAAAGGCAACAAAGTCATAAGCTTTCTCAGAAAGCTCAGAAAGCTCTCATCCAATTTTCTCAGAAGGTGCTATAGCTTTTGCTCATCAAACTTATCTGTATACTGGAATTTCTCAAGGTGTTAATTTAGAATCACTCTAAAAGAATTCATTTTTAAATAATTCACTTACATATATTTCTGTATGTACATGGTACAGTTTATGTAACTACAGCATATGTACAATTCTGTAATGCAATTGCTGGCACATTTTAAATGCTCAATATCTGTTCAATCTATAACCTCCTACTTCTTTCTCAAAGCCCATCTCTTACCGTGATGGGATAAATTTCATAAGAGAAAAGGACATTCTACTATCACCTCTGCTATTCTCAAGAAAATAATTTCCTATTTCGTCAAAGAAAACAGAAATTTTTTTGATGCTTTGACTTTCAGTACAAGGGTTCAGAATCAAATGTAAATTTGAAAATGTTACTGTAACTATTCTCCAGTTCAAAGAATACTTTGATGACAGTAGTCAAGGAGTCAGTAACCTGGCTTCCAGGATCACTTCTGAGATTGGGCAAGTAATTTTATCTATTTGTGCCTCTTTTATACAACCAGAGACTTGCCAAATGTGACCTCTCAGCTTCCTTCTAGCTCTGCGAATCTGTGGATTTCAACTCAAAGATAAATATTTTGAATTCCAGGGGGACACAATATGTTGCTCTTATACAGACCTTTCTGAACCTCAGTGAATGTTTAACCCAAATTAACTTGAAATACTTAAAATAAGTCAGACTTAAGAATGACTCAGTTCAGCAAATTGTTTCCATCCTCCTTTTGAAAACTTTTATTGCCTTTACCCATGAGATATACCCTAGCATTTGCCCTGCTTATGTTACTCTATCTCTACATTTGCTCTGTGACAGGTTATCAACCTATTTCAAACTCCTTCACCTCTTCAGCTTCGGAATCTTGCTTGCATTTTATTGGATGCATAACTGTTGTTTTATATATATATATTTTTACATATCTTATTTATTCCATTTTATAGTTTTTAATTTTAACTATTTTCTGACATAATTAAAAAATTAATTTTTTAATTTTAACTCTATTTTCTGACATAATTTTCTAGATCTTTAAGAGAACCTAGTTTACTCTTCTCTATGCTTAACACACTTGAAAGAATAAATAAATAAATAAATAACATGTGCTTGACTTGTCATACTGAGTCCACAAGATATAAAACCATTGCATCTGAAACCACAAAAGGGTCAAAAACCCTCTTTCTGGTATTTTGGTATATTAGGTAGGGGGACAAATCCAGATTCAGCCCTGACCTGAGGCCTTCTATGGGGCTGTGACCTGGTAACACCAAAATACACCATCCAAATTAACCTAGCAAATTACTCTCACTATTTAACCACTAACATCTTTTCTAAGACATCTTCAGAAATACTGGTCTAACTTAAATTTAAAGCAAAATTCTTACATATTGCCTAAGAGATGTAATACATTAACCACATGAACATAAAATGATAAAAGACTTATCTGATTAAATATTTTTCCAGCCATGTGAAACAAGGCTCATATAGGTCCCCCCTAACAAGCATGGACAATATCAGAAATCCAGAGAGCATGTGTTTTAGAGTAGGAAGTAGCATAGACATAACGGATGGAGCCGCTTCAGAAGAAAGCTTGGCCAAAGGCATCATTTCTAGAATAAATTAGCTGATACTATGAAGCAACAATACTTGGACCAATTTATCAGTACTTTTATGGCCCAAGGAATATGATCATTCAGAGCTGGCTTCTCTGTTCTTATTTTACAATACTTTTACAATTCTTGGAATCACCTTCAAAGCCTAGAACATAGCTTTATAAAGATCTTTGATGGTAGCCCATCAACATTATGTTAGGCTAATGATACTTGCTGGAATCTAACTAACACTCCTTTGAGGATAATTTAGAGACTAAATCTGGAAATTAATCTGAGTATTGATTTACTGGACTTGTGGACTTATATGAAAGTAGCTATAAAAAAGAAGTATTCCTTACACTTTTGAAGTAACAGCAATGCTAATTTGGAAACTACTCTTATCAATTTAGAGTCAGAAGCTACAAATCTGCTTTTATCTAAAATGATAAAAAACCTATTTAATCCAGTATTATTTTGTTCTGAAGTGTTTGCTTACATTAGTTTAATAATTAAGTGTACTGCAAATTATATAAAGAGAAAAGAATAGGAGAATTATATAGGTATGTGAAAGTTCATATTAATACTACCCATAATACTATGAATAAAGAGGTATCTTATACTCTTCTTATCATCTGGATTTAACTCTCAAAGGACAAACAAGTTTTGGAAACTTTTCTTTATTGTTCTTTTGATTTATTCTCCATTTAAAATTACACCCTAAAAATCAAGACCAATTTTCAGAGTTAAATGGATATTTATAGAATCTTCAGAACGCTTTCTCTGGTCAGAATAAAACTTTATTTAAATTGGCCAAAGGCTAACATTTAAATATTCTAAAGTTAAAATTCTTTTAACTACTCTCACAGAATCTTAAGTCAAAGGGAGAATTGTAAGGAAGTAATCAAAATGACTTCTTTACTTGCAGTAGAAAATGCCCATGATGCAGCACAATTTTTTTGATCCAATGGGCCATGAGTCCACCCAGGCCATTTATAAGAAGCAATGAAAAACTCTGGAAGATCAGTTGTTGCAGGTAAAGAGGCCTAAAGAAGAGAGGCAGATGCGTCAGACTTCTTCAAATGTATCCCAATAATCACTTTAAGAAATCACTTTTATAATGTTTATCATTATTTTTTAAATTTTGTATATTCATGTTTTCTGAATGACACACCTGAAAAATATTAGTAGTGTAGGATTTCTATTTCATATATGTGGAAAAAAAATAGTTCAATGCAGGGAATCCTAACATAGTACAAAATCATAAGAACAAGATGTAGAATTTTCCTGGGTTACATAGAGAGCAATAATTTGAGCCAATGTTTCTATCTTCTTGAATCAGAATTTGGTTCACCGGTATGAAAGACTGGATGGTTTTACTTAAATTTGACCTCATAAATAATATTTCTGTTTAAGTCCCTTTTATGTGGAAAATGTGATTCTACATGAAATTAATTTTGAAACAACGCATAGGTGGCAATTATGCATTAATATGTTTGGGGCCCCAAGGAACACCAGCCATTAGGAAGCAAAACTGGGATGAATTGGTTGATATTTATTAAATCCTTAAAGACTAAAAAGGGTTTCAGAAAGTGTGGAATGCCAAACATGCAATACCATTATGTCTTCAGAGCCCATGTTCAAGGCCTGACAGAGTTGATTTAAGCTGCTGTCTTTCCAAGAATGTAAATGCAATGTTATACTTTGTCTGTTCAAATCATTCAAATAAAATCTCAAACACAATATCTTGGGTTTTTTTTTTTTTTTTTTACAAACATTTCTGAAGAGTGATAACCTTCACTTTAAAAATAAGGACTCAAACCAAATAATGACGTGTTTATTAATTTTTTATCACTTAAGCATACACATTCATTCACACACAACATTATTCAGAGTGCTCTAAAATTTTCAACTGTTCTAATAATCAACATTTTATCTTGTCAATAGCTCTATGTTATATAACCATGGCAAATATTATTCACCATATTTTATCAATAAAAAGACAAAATCCCAAAAGTTAAATGACATGTGAAAGTTAAATAAAAATACATCTGAAAGTAGATTCAGATTTTAGAATTTAGAACCAAGGGACCATTTATCATTACCTTACTCTATCAGAAATACATTGATATTTTGCAAGATAAATAAAATGTCTATAAAAGCTACATTTTTACCTATTTAAAAGTTTTATAATTGTACATTTCATTCAACAAGTCAGGCTACTGATCCAATATTTTGCAAAGAAAGTTACTTCTGACAAGTATATAATTGCTTCAAATACTAAAGGAAGATTTATAAGTTGACTTGAAAAGGTATTCATCCAAAATATTTATAAACTTGAATTTTGATTAGAGAGTTCAGTTTTGATTTAAAGAAACTACTATCACCTGATTAGAAAGTTATTAAATCCTGAGTTCCATTACTAAAAACACTGCTATTTAGATGATGGAAGAAAAGTGCAGAAAATGCCAAGCAGGTCACAGCAGAGTGTCTGCATGATACCGTTAAGAGCAGTACCATGGAAATCCAGGTGATGTTAGGTCCTTATACCATTAGACTGACCACACTACAGACTGACCAACCTACAGTTGCAGCCAAATCAATTTATGCTCTGAATAGACAGTTCCAAAGATATAGATTCACTCTCCAAAAGAGTCTTTCTGACTATAATGGAAACATATTTATCTTGTTACTAATACCTTCCAATTTTATTATTATTGGCTCATCAGTGGGCTTTTAAACATTGATAATACTAAATTGTCTCAAGTTTTCAGAAAAATAGGTGCAATGTGAGTTGTTACTTTATCAGTTTAGTGAATTACAATTTAATAACATAGCTAGAATATGTCCCTTCTACTCTGTTTAGGCAGTAAAGATACAACACTTACTTCAAACACATTTCAGCCTGGTTGAATTAGAATTTGATTCCCATATTCCTACCAGAATGCTTTGCAAACAGGAGGTATTCAATAAATATGTCATAATAATTAGGAGATACAGACTTAAATGGTGGATTTCATCTCTTAAAAAATGATTTTTCCTCTCTAGGCACATTAAATTAAATTATAAATACTAGTCTGCTTTTATTGCTTTTATGATTTATTGCTTAAAAAAATACTAGTGGAGGGGTTAAGATGGTGGCATACTATGCAGACCCCGAGCTTGTCTTGTCCCTGAAAAGCATCTAGATCAGCATCATACCATTTTGACCACTCTGGAAATGGATCTGAGGATTAACACAACAATATGCATAATTTGAGCCAGAGAACTTGGCAGGTACACAGTTGTGGAGAGGTGAAGGAGGAGGAGCTGTGAAGGGTAGTGAGCACTTTTCATGGAGAGAACACAGAGAGAAAGAGAAAGGGGGAGAGCACAGCACTTCAGGATCATGCATGTAAAGTAAAGCACTGCCACCAAAGTAGCTGGTGAGAGAGAGAAAGAGTAAAATAACTCACAGGGGACTGAACAAGAAATCTGTTCCCCAAAACCTTTGGGTGAAAAGAGAGGACTTCAATACAGCCAGGATTCTATAAACAGTGGAGTGCAGAGTCTGAAGATTCAGAGCTCAGTGCATGGTGGTAATCTGGTTAAGAGGCAGGGCCAACCCCAGGGAACAGGGAGCAGGGTCTGATGGGTCCCTGTGTCACACAGGGAGAAGTAGTTCCCTGGCTTGGAGCGTATTTGGCAGAGGCCATACAGCCTCCCCACGGGCAAAGGTCCCAGGGGACCCAGGAGATCAGCCATATTTACTGATATTGGAGCAAAGATTTCAGAGGGCACCAAAACCAAACCACAGAGGGCTGTATCGTGTGATTTTACCATAAATCTCTGCTGCTGTGCAATTGCATGAACGTTTTCTGGGACAAGCCAGCACCAGCCATTGCTCGGGGAGAAACTCCCCCAGAGAATCAGCATGTATCCAAGCCACAGGGGTCTCTGAAGTATGGAGTTTTGATACAAAATCCCGTCTAAGATAAAACTCTGGAGAGAGGTGCCACCTGGCAGGCAGACATGTTGGACATGGACAGGGGAAGTGGTGGGATAGATGAAGGCCTGAGACAAAGGAGGGGTGCCCGATCGCAGCTCAGTAAAGATGTGAAGTTCCTGCGCCATGACTATGGAATGGGATGAAGCCATTTTCATCCCTAGAATGCAAATACATACAGGGATCCACCCCAACAAACTAAGCAGTGTCACCAAGTGTAGAAGGGAGTTGCTCCCCAAGCCCTGCCCACCTGTGCCCTGCAGGCACATCCCCCAGAAGACCAGCACAAATCCCTTCCATCTGCTTATTAGTCTACAGACTATAGTGTGCTTCAAAGTTTCATTTCTACAGGAAATGATGTAACTGCATTCGGTTTTAATTCTGTTTCCTGGTTGCTTTATTTATTTGTTTTCTACACCTCTGTTTTTGCTCAGTTTGTTTTCTCTTTTCTTTCTTTTCTTTCCCTTTCTTGGATACCAAAACAAAAAATTCTTTTTAATGTTCTTATTTTTTAGATTGTTTTATTCTTTGTGCGCCTGGGTGGCTCAATCGGTTAAGCGACCGACTTCGGCTCAGGTCATGATCTCATGGTTCGTGGGTTCGAGCGCCATGTTGAACTCTGTGCTAATAGCTAGCTCAGAGCCTGGAGTCTGTTTCAGATTCTGTATCTCCCTCTCTCTGTGACCTTCTCCTGTCTCTCTCTCTCTCTCTCAGAAATAAATAAATAAAACATTACAAAAAATTAAATTGTTTTATTCTATTTTATTTTTGTTTATTCTATTTTAGTTTCTTTGTAATTTTTAAATTGTTTCCCTTTCTTTTTTCTCTATCATTTCGAGTTTCTTTCAATAAGCAGACTGTGAAACACATCTAGGATCGTGCTTCCTTTATTTGATTCATTTGTTTTTATTTTTTAACTTTTAATTTCATTTTTTTCTTCCTCCAAAATGATAAGATAGAGGAATTCACCCCAAATGAAAGAACAGGAAGGGGGCACTGGTGTGGCTCAGTTGGTTAAGCATCAGCTCAGGTTATGATCTCACAGTTTGTGGTTTTGGGCCCTGTGCTAAACTCTGTGCTGATGGCTCAGAGACTGGAGCCTGCTTCAAATTCTGTGTTTCCCTCTCTCTCTCTGAGCCCCTCCCCCAATAAATAAACATTTTAAATAAAGAAAGAACAAAAATGACAGCAATGTATTTAATCAACACTGATATAAGTAAAATGTCTGAACTAGAATTTGAAACCACAATTATAAGAGTACTAGCAAGGGTTAAAAAAAAAGCATAGAAGACACTACAGAATCTCTTTCTGTGGAGATAAAAGAAGTAAAAGCTAGTCAGGCCAAAATTAAAAATGCTATAACCAAGATGCAATCTCTAAGGGATAACATGACAGCAGGAAGGCGAAGTAAAGCAGTTAATCAGTGATATAGAAGATCAAATTATGGAAATAATGCAGCAGAAAAAAAAGAGAGAAGAAGAGGCAAAAGATCAATATACAAGATACAGAGAACGCCATGACTTATTTAAAAAGGAATAACATTTGAGTCATAGGAATCCCAGAGAAGAGAGAGAAAAAGAGCAGTTTTAGAAGAGCAAATTATAGTTGGAAACTTTCCTAATCAGGGAAAAGGTACAGATATTAAAATCCAAAGAGCACAGAGAACTCCCATTAGATTCAATAAAAACTAACTATCATCAAGGCATATCATAGTTAAATTCACAAAATACACAGACGAGGGAAGAATTACAAAAGCAGCAAGGGAAAAAAAAATCCTTAACCTGAAAGGGAAGACAGATAAGGTTTACAGCAGATCTGTTAACAGAAATTTGACAGGCCAGAAAAAGGAAGCAGGATATATTCAACGTGCTGAATCAGAAACATATGCAGCCACGAATTCTTTATACAGCAAGGCTGTTATTCAAAATAGAAGGAGAGATAAAGAGTTTCTCAGACAAACAAAATCTAAAGGAATTTATGACCGCTAAACCAGTCCTGTAAGAAATTCTAAGGGGAAATCTTTGAGTGGAGGGAAAAAAAAGGATCAGATAACATCAAACA